CCCCTTTCGCTCCTGGTGGCCTTGTCGGGTGTGTTTTTTGCCTGTTGGAAAAGTCCCTGCTGCCCAGGATGGGGGTCGGTGGGTGCTTAGCCCTGCCCTGGAGGTGCCTAGTCGTCCTCTGTCTCAGGCTGCTCTTCCTTGTGCCCGCAGGAGTGCCCGTGCGCAGCGGAGATGCCACCTTCCCCAAAGCTATGGACAACGTGACTGTGCGGCAAGGGGAGAGTGCCACGCTCAGGTAGGAGCAGCTGGATTTCTGCCTTGGGGGGCACCGGGGGGGTCCCGCTGCACGGCAAGGGTGGCCGGTGCCTTCGGGGAGGTGACTCAGTTTCCCCCACGGGGGATGCATCGTGTCGACTGGCGGTGCAGGATGGGTGCCGGGCGGCAAGCCAAGAGGGAGATTTGGGTGCCAGGGGAACGGGCTTTGGCTCAGTCCCCCGAGTCCTCTCCGGGAAAGTTACTGGGGGATGAAAAAAGGGGAGTGCGATTCTCTCTTGGCCCCCTGCCCTACACCGGTGCGAGGCACAGGCTCGGCTCCTGCTGTCGGTAGTCATGGCTTGGGCACTTCGGCTGCGTTTGGAGGGGGTAAACACCGCTCTGCTCCCGGAGTGCAGCGCCGGGGGTGCCTTCATGCGTGTCAAAACAACCTAGCCTGGGGAAAGGGGGAGTTGTTGATCCCCTCTGTGGGGTTTTGTGCCTTTTCCCCATGCCCAGACCTGCTGGGATGAGGGGGGGTGCAGGATGGGGCTGGCGCTGGGCGGCTGGATGCTGCCCTCCTTAAAAATCCCCTTGCTCGGAAGGCAGGGGGTTGCTGCTACCTGCCAGCGTTAACTCTTTGGGGTGGGGAGAATTGTGGGGCTGGGCGTTGCACCAGGGTCCTGTTGCCTGCGGCAGCAATCTGAGGGGTGCGGGGGCTGCCAAGACAACGGTAATTTTGATCGGCGTAACTTCTGGGACATCTTACGCCCAGATACCCATCCCTGTCCTCGCAGCAGATGGGCGCAGTCATCCCAGAAGAGATCCTGGCGAGGATGTTTGATAGGGACATTAAAAATAAAAAGCCAGCTTTTAATTGCAGCGCTGGGAAGCGGCGCTTGCAACTCCAGCATGCTCGGGAGTGACTTTCCTCCGCTGGCGTGTTGCATAGGTGACACTAACATCTGCGGGGCCAGCTGGGTGTGTGCGGTGAACGCCGCGCTCCTGCTTTACGCCAGCGAGTGGAGCAGGGCCAAGCCAGGGCAAAAAACCCGAGGAAGAATTTCAGCCAGGTCTCTTTTTAAGCGGTGGGAAGACTTAAACTACGGGCTGGGTTTGGCCCCTTGAAACGTGAATCCCCTCCCTATGTATTTCCCGCAACTCAGTTGTTTGCAGCTGATCCTCTTCCCCCCCCAGCCCTTGCATGTTCCTGGGAGGAAGGGAGGGAGCTGCGCTGTGGCCGTCCCTCGGGATTTGTCTTGCGTCATGGCACGACTGGGCAAAGAGGCTTGAAAATGGGTGGCCGAGGGTGGAGGACGGGGTGTCTCGCTTAGGAATTTGCCCCACCGGGCTGGGCTAAAAAAAAAAAAAAGGAGCTCCTTTCTTCTCCTGAATCGCTGGGCTCTCCCATGCACCAAAAATCCTACAGATCTTGCCATGGGGGTATCAAAGAGGGGAGGGGTTTGGGTTACTGGAGGTCTGGGCAGCAAAATACACAGGAGGGTGGCAGCAGCAGGGTGGTACGGGCACGGGTGCTGTGCAAACTTACTGGAAGGAGGTGAATTGCTCATGCTGTAGCAGGGACTTGCGAAGGGTTTCTGGCACAGAGCGTGCCGGTGCTCTGCCCTGGCACCGGGTGCTCGCCCGGTGTCGGTGGAGAACAAAGGAAAGCTGGGGTGAGTCAGCAGGAGGGATGCTCTCCTTCTGTCTGTGAGGCCTGGTGGGAAGGGGGGACAAATCCTGCCCCTGGGAGGTGGCCCTGGGGAGGGAGGGCAGTGGCTTTTCATCGCCCCAGAGCTGCCGTATGCACATCCCAGTTCAGCTGGGGAGCCTGTCTGCTGGCAAGGGATGTCCGTGTCCCTACGCAGGTGGCTGGTCCGTACAAGGTGCCCCAGGAGAGGGGCACATGGGCTTTGGGGTATGCAAACTGTGCCGACGTTATTCCCCACTGTGCCGACGATAATTCCCGCTGTCCTGCCCCTAGAGCGGGCATTACTCTTGGAAATTAATGGCTTGCTGCTGCCGCCAGCTCAGTGCACTGGTTTGGTAGCCAGAGAAGTGGAGGACTGTGTTTTGCACTGGCATTTTGGGGCATTTTCCTTCTGGTTTGAGGTGGGAGCGGTTAGTCCGGCAGGCAGTGGTACAGTGCTGCATCCCCCGGTAGGTCCCGGTCCCTGCAGCCGTGCTGCGCTGTGGCAGGAGCCGAGAGCAGAAGAGCACGTGAAAACCACACGTTTCCAGAGAAGGAAATCAGGGAAGCGTGAATATTCCTGCCCGCTCCCCTCCTAGCCCGGCTCCCGGCGTAACCATTGATCTGTTGTGGAGGAGTTAACTTGTTCAGAATAGCAATGCCGCTCAGAAAGGCTTGGGCGGACCCCGCTGCCGCTGCTCCCGGCCACCTCCCGCCCAGCGCACAGGCAGCAGCCCTGCC